CCCCCCCCCCCCCCTGCCTTCCACTTTGACCACCCTCGGTCACGTTGCGCAACGCCATCACCTGGCCCCCCAGCACAGGCTGCCTCGATATCTCCACCGACATCCCCCCCCCCCTCCCCCCTCCCCCTCCCCCCCTCCCCATCCCGATCTCCTTATTCGCCAACATTCGGAAACATCGGCGTATCGGGCGTGTTGGGCGTGTTGGACGTGTCGGGCGTGTCGGGCGTGTCGGGTGTGTCGGGCGTGTCGTGTCCGATTTGAGTCGAGTCGAGTCGGAGTCTGGGTGGAGGTGAGGGGAGACGAGGACAGGGGGGAGGAGAGGACAGGGGAGGGGGGGAGGGGGGGGGGGGGGGGGGCAAGCAAGCAAGCACTTGTCATAGAGTGGCACAGGTAATTAAGCAGGTGAAAGAGACTGTTATGGAAGTGCTCGAGCTCTGGAAGCATTTGGAGGAAGCGCGGGAAGTGGCAGCGGCACCATTGCTTGGCGGACGTGGTGCTGATGACAACGCATACTTTACCCTCTACACATGTGATTCTGTGACAATGAAGAACCTCGACGAGAGGGATCCTGCTGCTGCTGCACTTGCTCGTGGCGAGGATCATGATCACCATCACGACAATCATGATCACCATCACGATGATCAGGATCACCCTTCCAACAATAACGGCAAGACGGGCTGCTACGGCAACGAGATGGACGACGATGACGATGGAAGTGTGTCGACGCTGCTGCATGCTGCGGCGCGGGATGGCGAGATGGACGTGCTGTTCTTCCTGGTCCGTGTCGCCGGTTGGTCTCCCTCGACGAGGGACGCCTTTGGTGGAACGCCGCTGCACGAGGCGATGTTCTACGGGAGGACGATGGCGGCGACGTGGCTGATTGGCGAAGGCGCCAAAGTAGATGCCGTCGACCGGGCCGGGAACACCCCGCTGCATCTTGCCGTCCTTGCGCGCCAGTCCAAGTGTCTGCGACGGGTGCTCTCCGACTGCGAATCCATCCCGCGCGCGGCGCTTGTCACCGTCGCCTCGGACGAGGGACGGTCGGTCCTTGATCTCGCTCGTGACATGCAGCTGTGGAGCGTGGCGGCAGTCATTGCCGGCTACCTCGCCGATCGCGAGACTGCCGAGGTACTCGCCAAGGAGCACACGGCGCCGGACGCGCTGCCGCTCACCATGGTGACGCCGACCGAGGTGGCATCACTGCCAGCGCGGGCAGCGCGGGCCGCAAGCGCGCTGGCCGAGCGCTGCGCCTTCAGTGCAGGTGTGCTGCTCCTCGGCTTCTACCTTGCTGTCCTCCACCTCCCGTTTGTGGCCGCTCTCTTTGGCGTTGTTCTCACCGTCGGTGCTGGTGTCATCATCGCCTCCCACCTCGGGCAGATGCCGACGGCGGCGACACGGTACGTCTTTGTGGTGCTCAACAACATCGGCTTTGCCTCCTCGGTCGCCGCCCTCCTCAGCTACCACAACGATGACGAGTCAGGTGCCATTTCGACCGCGCCCGGCTTTGTCGCTACCGCCCTGGTCTGGGCAGCGTACGCCACGGCGTGCTTTGCGGACCCGGGCGTGCTTCCGCCGGCTGATGCGGGAACGAGCGACGAGGCGGCGATGGCGAGGTACGTGCAAGTGCTCGAGACGGCGCCAGACTCGGTCATGGGCTTTTGCAACACCTGCCGCATCCCGCGGCCGATCCGGTCCAAGCACTGTGCCGACTGTGGGGTGTGCGTCGACGTGTTTGATCACCACTGTGTGTGGCTGGGCAACTGCGTGGGCGCCGGCAACCATCGCGCCTTCCTGCTCGCCATGGTGCTGTACGAGGTGGCGGCAATGATCGTGCTCCCCATCGAGCTCCGCATCCTCACCTCGGGCTGGTGCACCTCGTGGCTCGAGCTCCTCCCGCACATGCTAGAGTCGCACCCGCTGCTTTTTGGCCTCTTCACCTGCCAATGCTACGGCGTCATCTTTGTCATCTACCTCGTCATCCCGCAGATCGTCTTTGTTACCCGCAACGTTACCTTTAACGAGACCGTCTCGGGCCGCCGCTACAACTACCTCCGCGATCCCGAGTCGCGCACTCCGCTCAAGCCCTTTGCCTTTGGCAACCTCGTCAACTCGTACATGTTTGCCGTCGCCGCCGACCGCAAGTCCCGCTCTCCACTCGCCCCGGCCTGGCTCATTGCCCTCCAATCGCGCTTCCCGGCCCTGTTTGCCCAGCGCTAGCTCACCCACCGGACCTCGATCGCTCTCGACCGTCCTTGACGATTATCCTCGACCGCTTCTCAGCTTGATGACTATGCACGCTGCGACCCAGGACTTTTCTCGGCATGAATTGTTTGCCTTGATGAGCAAGTTTGCTTGACTCCTTTGCACTGCTACTGCTTGCAAGCCGCTTTGCAGGGTACTTGCAACGCGAAAGTGAACTGGCCGTCGCCCTGCCGCAACTTTTTCCCCGGCAAGCATAAAGAATTGTCCAGTGGACGTCAAACTGGTTCACATCATCAGAGCAAAAAAAAAAAAGTGAGGATCACCAGCCGCGCGCGAAGCGGTTGGTCACGTGCGTTGCTCCGCCACATGCCCCTGCCCCCCTCCCTCACCCCACGTGGGGGGGAGGGAGGGGTGAGCTGGCGGGTATGGGCGGGCGGTGGGGCTAACGAGGGGAGTTAAAGTGAGGAAGGCGGGAAGGAGGGGAGGCTACGGGGGTAGTAAGGGGGTAGAGCATAGGCAGGGTGGTGACAGCCAAGCGAAGGGCTCTGTAGGAGGTTGTTTGGCTGGCAGCCCGGGGGTGGTGGCATGTGGGCCGCATTTTGCGGTGGCGCACGCGCGGAAGGCTGGGTGGTGGAGCAAGCACGCCTTTTTAGCGGATAGAGATGGCGACGACGGCGTAGAGGGTACAGGGAAAGAGGTGTGGAGGGGGGAGAGAGAGAGAGAGAGAGAGGCAAGGAGAGCGTGATAGTGGGCAAGAATTCACTTACGAGAGTGCAAGGAGAACGTCAGCAGCGTTCTGCTCCCGGGCGGGTGAGCCGCTCGACTTCCCAGGCAAGGTAAAGGTAGAGGGAGACGGAGCGACGTCATTGGAGGGGGCAAGACCGCGGGCCTTCTTGAGCGGCGGGGCGCCCTCGTCGTCGTCGTTGTTGTTCGACGCGAGGGAGCCGGCACCAAGATCAAGACCGGTTGACGAGGCGATGGGCGGCACAAAGGCCGTGGCGCGAGCCGAGGTGGGCGACTGCGACCGTTCACGCGAGGTGGACGGCAGCATCATTGAGGCAAGCGAGGCGGCGGCGTCGCCAAAGAACGGCGAGCCTGTGGCAGTAGCATCGCCAACAAGGGGCGACTTTTCAGCCGAGGGCGCCACGGTGGGCGCAAGATGGCTAGTGGGAGCGGCCGAGGCAACGGATGCGGTCGGATGCGACGGGTGGGCGAGGTACTCGGGGCGCGTGGGTGCGGAGGCGCCGTCGTTGGAGACGGCTGAGGGGGCGTGTGACGTCGAGTGTGCGGCCTGCGCGGCCTGCGCGGCCTGCGCGGCCTGCGCAGCCTGCGCAGCCTGCGCCTGCTGCATGGCAAAGCGGGCGTAGGCTGCGGCCTGCATCTGAGCGTAGGCAAAAGGCAGGTACATGGCCTGCTGCGGGTCGGAGCCTGCGCCTGCGCCTGCGCCCGGGGCGGCGGAGGAGGCTGGTGAGCCCATGCCGTACATGAACGAGAGCATGGGGTTTGCCCACGCGGCGGCGGCAGCAGCAGCAGCAGCAGCCTGCTGGTTGCCTGTCTGGCTCTGTTGGTGTTGGAGAAGGCCCGAGTGGAGGCCGGTCATGGACGAAGCCATGTACGGCGAGGTCGGGATGGCAGACGAGGCAGGGTACATGCTCCTCTGGTGGTGGGCAAAGTTGCCAGGGCGGCCATGGACTGAGGAGACCGAGGAGACTCGGTGCGAGACAGACTTGCGCGACGAGGTGCCGCGTTTGCGTTTGGCCGACCGGTGCACCGCGCTGTTTGAGCATTTTTTGTCTTCGATCCTTTCGAGGAGGTCGTCGATCCGCTTGTGGAAGCGGCGCTCCTCGACCGAGGCGTAGGCATCATAGGCGTGCGGGCCCTTCTTCCTCCGGCTGCGCCACATGGTGCGAAGGCGGGACATGCGGTTTTGAATGGACTTATTGTCGCGGTACCGTGGGTGGTTGGGCTGGTCGTAGCCAAGACGCTCGTTGAAGGTGGCAACGAGTGACTCCAACATACCGCCTTTCACTCCCTGCGTCACACCATGCGAGAGATAGAGCTCAGCAAGAAGCAGCGACTCCTCCTCCGTCCACCGAACACGTTGTGTAGGTGCTGCTCCATACGTGAACTTCATCTTTGGACAGACAGCTTTGACTGTAGTTGCCTTGGCCGGAGTGAGGGGTTACCAGTTGACTTTCCCAACCACGCAGAACATCTATCGATCCCCCGCAGCAGTGAATTTCGCCGCGCACGTGCTGCGACCGGCAGAGTGTCTGGACAAAAAAAAAATGCCGCTTCTTTCGCGCCTATTTCCCCGCTGTTCTATTCTCGGCGAACGCGGCATGCCCTTCTCATACTGTTGGTATGTCGGGTAGTGGCCAGCTAGATGAGCGGACATATGCTCTGGCACAAGGTGGGTGGTTGACGGTGGTAGTCGGCTTGGTGGGGCGTGATGGAAGGTCTTACTTCGCCCCAGCTCGCCGGCTCCGCACCCCTCGCTTCGTGTCGGCTGATGTGTGGCAAACATTGGGAGCACACTCACTCAATGGATTGTCAAACTAGATAGGATTGGGATTGGTGAGCGTTTGCTGCCGCCTGACTTCTGTCGACGATCGAATTCACTCGGAAGGTCATGTGCAGAGAGAGTGAGATTCGCCGCAGCGCAAAAATAAAGTTGAGGCGGAGAGTTGAGCAAGATGGCCACCGCAGTGCGGTAGATTAAGGCGGCGGCGGCGGCGGCGCTCCCGGATACG